CTTCATCTTTCTCTCTCTCTCTCTCTTCTTCTATAGTCTTTCACCTTCCTCTGCCTCTCCTTCCCTTCCTCTCACCTCTCTCCCTCTCACCACCTCCCTCCCCTCCCTCTCTTTACCCCCTCCCTCCCACCTCCTCCCCTCCCTCTCCCCACCCCCTCCTCTCACCTCCCCTCCCCTCTCACCACCCCCCCCTCCCTCCCACCTCCTCCCTCCCCTCTCCCCCACCTCCCTCTCCCCTCCCCCTCCCCTCTCACCACCTAGCCCCCCCTTTCCACCACTCCCTCGACCACCCTAAAGGACTGGAAAAGAATTTACAAGGCGCAGGTCTCAGGCTTGATTATCATATAAGCAAGTAATAATGCGCCAAATACCCAGGGGATTTACCATGCGTCCACTCACCTACCAAATTGGCGCATGGAACTACATTATGCGTGTGTGCGTGCGTGTGTGTGTGTGTGTGTGTGTGCGTGTGTGTGTGTGTGTGTGTGTGATTCAGGCTTCTATGTTATGTTGTATTATTAATGTTATGATTATGTTAAGTTATATATCTATATTGAATTTCTATTTATGTTAAGTTATTGTTATATTTATGTTATATCTTTTATGTTAAGGTATATCTAGTTTAGGGTTTGTTATTGCGTATTGTATATTATATTTGTTTGTGTTTGTTTTGCGTTTGTTTTGCGTTTTGTTTTGTTTTGTTTGTTTGTGTTTGTTTTGCGTTTGTTTGTTTGTTTGCGTTTGTTTGTGTTTGTTTGTTTGTTTATTTTGTGTTTGTTTGTGTTTGTTTTGTGCTTTTTGTTTGTTTTTTTGTGTTTGTTTTGTGTTTGTTTTGCGTTTGTTTTGCGTTTGTTTTGCGTGTTTGTTTTGCGTTTGTTTTGCGTTTGTTTTGCGTTTGTTTGTGTTTGTTTTGTGTTTGTTTTGCGTTTGTTTGTGTTTGTTTGTGTTTATTTTGTGTTTGTTTGTGTTTGTTTTGCGTTTGCAAGAAATTGATTCAGTGTAAATGTCTGATTAAACTATACATAAAATAATTAGTTTATTGTACGATATACTGAACTACTTTTTCAATACTTTTAATACTTTTTGGAAAACTCTGATTTACATAGTTACGAGGCATTCAACACCCCTCCCTCCCTACACTACTCATCCTCACCTCCCACCCCCTCACCACACCCCTGCTCCACCCTCACCCACCCAAAGAAAAGGAATGCTGTATGATTGTAATTGTTGGAAATAATGAAATAAAAACAACGAACAATGAGAACAGATTCCTAGCAGAGAGAGAGAGAGAGAGAGAGAGAGAGAGAGAGAGAGAGAGAGAGAGATTTTTTTACCCACTATTATTGCTACATCGGTCGTATTATCACACCGTCACATCGTTAGAGAGAGAATTTTGTATTATTAAATTATACAACGAACATGTAGCTAGTACGATAAGGTGAGGTAACAATGCTTGAGGATTAAATGATATCGTGGCTAACAGTGAGGGACATATTAAAAAAAAATGACTATCGGTGTTTTATCTAATTTAAGGGATCATGTATATAACTTACTTTACGATATAAATACTTTTTTACCTATTTTATGTTAGAAATATTTTTTTTTTACCTACTTTAAGATAGAAATACTTTTTTCTTACTTTATTATATACTTTTTTATTTAATTAAGACACGGTGTGATTAATGGTGGTGGGAAAACGTAGGTTAGATCCAATGGTTTATTCTAAGATATTTTGGCAGGAAATAAAACAATATCCAAGTATCATTTATACTCGTAGACTTATTTAAAAACATTTAACTACAATTTATCTGCACATTCGTAAAAAATAATAGTTACTGGAAATACAGGCGTGGAAACGTTAGTAAAAAGATATTGGATTGTACTAAGAATTGATTGGGATATACATGTTAGGTTCGGCACCCAGTGTTGACATTATGGAGCTCTGTGGGATAACGGTACTAAACTATTAACGGAAGATTATATGAATTAAACTTACTATACAAACCTAATCTAACTACCGTATAGCCTAGTTTATAATTCAATCTTATTTTATTATTTAGTTAGGTTAGTGTGGTTTATATAGTGTTTTATAAATGGTTTTAGTGTCGTAGTACTCTCACAGTCCTCGGGTTTGTTTACATATGACGTCACGGCAGTGTTTATTGTGATTTTTCTAACTCTATCCACCTGTTTCTGTCGTAAAAACAATGTATTTAGTAATGAAATAACAAATTTGTCGTAAAAATCAAGAGTAATAAAGAATGTCTAAATAGCATAACGGGATAACATATAATAGCACATGGTTGACACACACACACACACCAAAAAAAAAATCAAGGTCAACCAGTTGTTTGTATTTTGGTCCGTGTTTGGTGCATTACAAGGAACCACTTCAGTCTCGTTTTTAATTTTGTTTTTTTGGTGTGTATTTTCATCTCAGGAAGTGTGTGTGTGTGTGTGTGTGTGTCATGTCTTATAGGTTACAGTACAAGGTTATGTA